CAGGGATTGTAGGTGGGGGGGGAGTGAATGTACAGCGCTCTCTCCCACCTTCAATACCACGACTGAGGTGCCCTTGAGCAAGGCACCGAACCCCAACTGCTCCCCGGGCGCCGCAGCATAAATGGCTGCCCACTGCATGAAAAAAAAGTACCGTCATGTACCGTGAAACCGGTATAATTTTGAAAAATACCGTGATATTAATTTGTGGTCATACCGCCCAGCACTACTCAAACAGCAACATTACAGACTAACTAAAGTTGAAAAAGTGAAAAAGCATAATAGGACCCCTTTAATATCTTCATGCCTTATAGTCACATCTGGCAGATTCGATCTGGATGATAATATGTGACCCTGGAGCACAAAACCACAAAGCATTTGTAGCAATAGCCAAAAATACATCGTATGGGTCAAAATTATCGATTTTTCTTTTATGTCAAAAATCATTAGGATATTAAGTGAAGATCATGTTCCATGAAGATATTTAGTAAATTTCCTACTGTAACTATATCAATTTCATTTTTGATTAGTAATATGTATTGCGAAGGACTTCGTTTGGACAGCTTTAAAGGTGATTTTCTCAATATTTTGATTTTTTTGCACCCTCAGATTCCAGATTTTCAAAAAGTTGCATCTCTGCCAAATATTGTCCTATCCTAACAAACCATACATCAATGGAAAGCTTATTTATTCAGATTTCAGATTGCAAATTACATTTATATTACATTTATATAATTTTGTGATGATATAAACAATCAAGCAGTTGAGATTTGCTATCTAGTATATATCGCCCTATGTGACTAAACTAGATGAGTGTGAATAAAGTGGGATTTTCTTATATATTAAACTTTTTATATAAAGAGTTTGGCAATCATATAGTTTGCATTTTGTGACAATACAAGCAATCAAGCAGTTGAGATGTACTATCTATCTATCTATCTCTCTCTCTCTATATATATATATATATATATATATATATATATATCTCGCTCTACGCAAGTATATTGTTTGAATGTGGATAAAGTTGGCGATATGTATATATCTGACTTTATATAAAGAGCTGGGTGATAAATATAGTTGCATTTTGCGATGAAATAAGAAAAAATCAGGCAGATTTGCTATATAGTATATAATGCTTTATCTGAGTTTACTGTATTCATGCAAGTAAGGTTGGCGATAATATTCCTGAATAGTCACATTTAAGCAGCTTCAATATAGACACATGAAATAAATGAGCACATAAAATGATATTTTCTAAAGGTGTGGTCCTGTCGTTCACATTTTGACATTTTTGTGAAAGTTTTTTTTTTTTTGTAAGTATTGAAAACTTTTTTTATTATTTGCATTATCATAGATATTTATAAATAATTATATTTATAAATATTAACAATATTTAGTTACTTGTGACATTTTATAGTGCTGCACCAAAATTATATTTTTTAGCAAAACACTGAAACCCAAATCGAAGTTTTTATTCAGAAACTGAAAGTTTCTGTAAATAACAGGTCATTGAACTCACAGTGTTGTTCAGGGTATCATGTTCACATATGAGAATCCAGTTGTAGTTTTTCAGCAACAAGCTTCCATTTGAAATTTTACAAACAAATTTTACATATTGCTACTCCTGCATAATGTTTGGTCATGGTGAAGCATGTTTGCCTGTTTCCACAATGCGTGCATTAAATCCATCACCCTGTTTTTATGAGCATTTTGAAGAATCGCATCAGAAACGAGTGATAGAAACATCAAATTTCGAGAGGAAAAAAGTCCTTAAATTCGCAAAAAAGTTTTTACGCTCGCTTGAGGTGGTTTTTGACTTGTGCGAAAAAGATTTAATGCAAATAATGGGAGATAGAAACACGTTTGCAGAATAAATTCTGATGTAGCAAACGTTAAGACTATGTTCACACTTGGCATCTTTTTTGAAGCTGCCAGCGTCTGTTTTACATTATAATCCTATGGAGTAAACCGTGTTTTCAAAGAAGTCCTGAGCACTTTTTTAAACGCCACCGCCGGCGTCTTTTTCTGCAGCTCAGAGCATCTTTTCAAGATGAAAAAAGTTCAACTTCTCTGAAAAAACAACTTGCGTCAAGCGCCTTTTTGACAGCTGACCAATGACAAGCGAGTAGCGAGACCTGTCGTTTCCATAACAACAAGAA